CTTTAAGACCTTTGACTCAAACTCACCAACCATTTCAAAAATGGCCATTCACATTCATATGCAAACTTTCATTAGTTTCGAGTAACATAGTATTACCAACATCTACTTTATCTGCAACCAGATTTCTTTTTCTGATCATACTTTGAAAAATACTAATAATAAATTTAAAACAAGTTTTGTTTTCTTAAACCAGAGCAGCAGCAGCATTTAGAAGTAGTCTATATATGCTGTTTGATGAACTTTATACATACAGCTCATTTCTTAATGGAAATCAGACTGTAAACTGAAAGTCTTTTATACAGAAATGATACATTTAACAATCATAAGTCCTACCTTAAAATGGTCCATCCAAAAGTTTTCAAACTACAGAATGTGAATGACTCTTCTTTTTCTGCTTTCATTATTTTACTTAGGCAACTACATACAACCCTGACAGGTCTTACTTTCTAAACTTAGGAAAAAGTACTTCAGTGCAGGTAATTTCAAGAATAATTGGTAACAGCACTACAAAACAGGCACCCAGTCCATAACACTGAAAAGGATGGAAAGAAGTCTTGCCCTACAAATTCAGCAGCGAGAGCACATACAAGAATGAAAACATCAATAACAGAAAAGCAGGAGGTTAATAATAGGCAGCATAATATGTAAAAAATAAAACATCTGTCCCAATTCAGCTGCAACAAGTGTTTTACAGTAAATTGCTTTATGACTGCCATCAAGTGACAGGAGATTTCTAACGATTTACACATCGACAGTGCCTGACACCTCTTCTGAAAGGGACAATGCGGGGTAAGGACAGCAGAGTGGGGCAAGGTGGAGTATAACTGTTGCTGAAGATGATTACCAGTCACCTCAATTGTAAACAGGGTAAACTGTAGCTTGCCACTGGTCAGTTTATCTGAGCTCAAAGTAGATCTTGTCATGGGAAAAATTCATCTGAGTCTCTTGAGAGGAACCACTGAAACATGAAACAATGTCAAGTAGGTAGGAGAAAAAATACGTTATCAATGAAGTGCCCCTAGCTTATGCATGGTTTTCTACTTATCTTAACAAATGGATCTGACATGCTTTTACAAAAGCTCTATATACACATACCAGTACTACCCCTTCATTATCATCACACAAGCAGATTTTTCTCACTCTGATTTGTGTCTGTGTTTTCCTTATATATATATATATATTTAAAAAAAAAAAAAATCATTTATTTCTGCTGGTGTATCTTTTATTTTCCCCTTTCTTTACTGTGCCACATGCAGTGGGTCAAAAGCCTATGGCACACATGCCAGAAAGGTAACTAAGACAAATTTTGATTGTCATACAGTACAGATTTACATATATGTCAGAAATGAAGCAGCTGCCAAATCACAACTCCTACTCTCTAAAATTGTATGCAAGACCTACTATTGTGCTCCAGTCAAAATTTCTGAGAGGCTCATGGTAATCACCAAGCCGGAACTCAGCAGGAGACGTGAGATGTAGCAAAATAGTACTTGTCAGTAAGAAAGTATTTGTGAGAGCAGAAGTATTTCTTTCTCCCTTCCCTCATGGAACTCTGAACTCAGCTAGAGATGGGCAATGTATCGGCATGTGAATGTTCTGATATGGGGAAGGAAACACAGTTCACTAGATCATACTTGACAGACTGTTGACCTCCAGTGCAAATGACTAGAGGACATGCTTTTGGAGAAAACAAGTACAGCATTGATTTTTCTAAATAAGACAGAGATTTTATTTTGCTTTCTGTGCTGAACTGAAACAGTAAAACAAGCCCCAAATGACTCTCTCCTACAGAACACACTGAACAAAACACTCCTCTAACTAAAAAACACTGCAGTAGATTTCAGAGCTCTGCATACAGATGGATATATACAGCGTAACATGCATACCTGATCTGTTAAGCGATGTGTACGAGTTTCCTAATCTCACATACTATTTCCACACAAACTACATGCAACTGGAGTAGAACAACAAATGTGCCTGTATCGTGGTCTCTAAAGTAAATTTAAATGTTGAGAGTCTGTTATCATTCAGTTCATTGCAAGGAACACGTTTTTGGGGTGCCAATGATACAATTCTCATCCTCCATTAGTAAGCGCAGTTTCACCAGGAGTTAACCAGCAACACGGTAGTAAAGTTCCAGTTTTTACCAGATTTCTCTGTTCCTCATAAGAGGTAGTCATATATTAGGTATCATATGTTCAATACTAATAATTCCAGCGATTGGGTTCACCTTTTAAGCTATGATAGCAAAATGACAGTTTTAAAGATTTGTTCCTCAAGTTAGCCCTCTGAAATTTTCTTTAGGAAAAAATTTCTTTGGTTACTTTAGATCTCATAATTAAAGATATCAAAGATGCTTTTGAAGCCAAGCGTCATTCAGGAAAACTTACCAGTAAGTGCTGCCTAAAACTACGCTATAGTACTCTATTGCATTTTGCTATAGAGTTACACAGTTCAGCCACGTTATTTTGATCACCAGACAAAAAATCCCAAGTGCACCTATATAAACTTACTTTCTTACAAATCCCTGGGTGCAGAGATTTTTCGAGTGATTTCCATGTGCCCTCTTTCTCACTGAGGTACTGCAATTGGCAACTTAGCCCAACAGTGCAGGTAAGGCTGGATGACCAGAAAGGGGAAAGGGCTGGGGCGCTGGGAGAGCAGGCTCTTATGAAAGAGCTATTACAATGAGCTAGGAGACGGAGCAGCATGGTGTTACGAAAGGTTCAAGGGAACTAAGCAGTATCAGGGAGCTGTTTAAGGGAGAGACTTGTACCAGGGGGAGTTGTATGAGGAGGTATGTAGGTAGCAGGTCGAGTTTGCAGATGTTTATGCCACCTCCTCCTTCTGGTATCTCAGCACACTTTATTCTCAGGACTGCAAGTGCAGAACGCTGCCACCTCTAACCACCTAGGAATGTCTTACAGAAATACGCTTGGGAATGCACATGCTTACAGAATATACTACTGAAGTGGTCAAGACACCCACAAAAATATCCAGCTTCCAGAAGTGCGCCTAAACAAGAGAGTAATGTTAAGCAGAATGACCAAATTGGGAGACAATTAATCTGTGTAAATGTATGCGCAAACTGGAAGACAAAAGCCATCTGTCTCGTGGAAAGAATAAATAATTATGGAAAAAATAAAGTAGATGTTGTTGGTATATAGGGATGGTAGCATACAAACAACGGCGAAAAAAGAAATCAGTTCTGCTATTTCATACAGAAGAAGAAAGTGAACAATCATTAATACCCAAATAACTCTGAAGTTTAACATGAATATTATTATGGACACACGTAAGATAACACTACAACAAAGATTTTAATAGGATTCAGAGAATAATATGTACATGCCTCTCTCTCTCTCTCTCTCTCTAAAACAACTTAATTCACATTACCAAAAAAATGGGCCTTAGCTTTGGTTTGGGAGACTCTCCAGTTCGTTTCTTTTCATGAATCCTTTCATGCAATGTATGCCAAATGATGTGATCACCAGCAGTTATATACAGTAAGGCTACAGAAAAAAATTTGTGATTTCAGAGTAAAAGTGATTTGCTTCAGGAAAAACAACTGCGTTTGAATAAATGCTTCAGTTTAGAATAGGATTTAATTTTCTAATCCATAACAGCATAATATTTCATATTAAATACTGTATGCAATACCATCTTCCAAAATACATCACTGAAATATTTCTATTATGAAAAGGACAAGCGTAGCAAGGTATTTTTAAGGCATGAGGCCCTAAAGTCAAGCTAAGGCTTGCATTTTAGAAGTTTTCCACTTCCTCCTCCGCTGTGAAACAAACATCTTCCCCACTTTTGGAAAGCAAGAGAAAAATAATGGAGGTGGTTTTGATGCAACATACAGCTGACAGATGTCCTGTGAATGGTTTCTAAGGAAAATATAACCCAACTACAACGTCAAAAAGAAAAAATTACACTACCAAAACATCCTTCTTTAATGGTAAAGGAAAAAGTCATGAGGACAGCTCTCACTCTGGGGATGCTTTTAAACTTTACAAACATAGCAGGTAGGTCAAATTAAGAGGGCAAGTATCAAAAAGTTATGACATTATGAAAGGAAACTTTTACTAACAACATGTACCCCACAACTTTTGTATGGACAGATGATTCATTCCCTAGATAACAAATCCAACACTTTCTATGAGCAACATAGAACATTATCTACATCCGTTTCTGCCATTATGACCATTTTTGAGACAACAAAAACAGCAGCAACATTTTTGCTGTTCTTCCTCAGAGTGCATAAATAGTCTGCAGTGGCAAGAATTTTAGGACCCCAAATTGTGAGTTTACCTCCTGACACTGCACAGAGTTTATGTTACTACACCGCAGTGGTTCTCAATCCTTCAATCACAGCTATAAGCAGTCTGGAACATCTAGGCAGACCACTTCTTATAGTGCTTACTGACTGCACTGATGACATTAAGCTACAGAATGGAAAGAGATTCCCAAAAGGATTCTCCTCTCAAATCGCACATACAGAAAGGAGACTGGTTTCCTGCTAGGTAAAAATGTTTTTAACTTTCTTTTTTAAAATAAACAACAGAACAAGAAATGCCCAATTTTTGAGGTTTTGCTTGGTTTGTTTTTTTAAACCAAAAACCAGAAAATTAAGGCATAAAGAGAACAGAAACTGCTGAAAAAACAAAGCAATGAACACGAGTTTATTAAAAAAACAGACAACAAAACAACAAAATACCTGAACAACAAGCTGATGTGCTTATTATCATCACAGCAAGTGAATAGAAAGCTAAATGTCAAGCATTACTACAGATACAGGTCAGCCATCTCTATTGTTAATGCCATTCAGCAGGTACCCATGGCAGGAGGTAAAGTCACAATTTCAATTGCTTAAAACAAGTCAACCCGTTTCACTCTTTTGCTAGTTTTCCACTGAATAAAACTGCTGATTACTGGAATTCATTTTAACCAAAGGGAAAAAAAAAAAAAAAGAAAGAAAAAAACAAACCACCACTTACCATTGTGATAAGAACTCTGTACTTATCCAGCATTGCCTGGCTATCATGGCATCCTGCCAGCAACTGCCAAACCTCTGCCCTTAGTGCTTCTGGAACACCACTTTTCACCAGGGTAGATAATCCATTTGGTCTCACAACAAGATTGTTGTGCCTGAGAAACAGACAATCGTTTGCTTATTATACTTCAACTACAGGAGTAGAAATCAAGATAAAACATACAAAAAGTTTTTAAACTTTCCAATGTTACTCTGAAAAGTAGAGTCAGGAACTGCAACATAAACTGTTCTTCCACTTGTTATGCTAATTAGCATTTGTCAGATGGAAAGCAAAAATTCTGCAAGGATTTACAGTTAGAACGAGTGGCAAAATGTAGTGATACCCAAATTCTCTAGGTGTAGAGAAATAAATAAAAATTAAAACAATAAACAATTGCAGAAATTGAACTAAATTGGCTAATGAAGAACAATTCGAATTGAAAGAGAAAACTATGCCATCTGTGCAGACAATTCAATTTAAATAGTTGTCCAATACACATGTTTAGCTTAGGTTAAGAAAAGGAAATTAAAAACAACCTAAGCTGTATAGAGAAATGAATTTTGGAAAACAAATAAAAGCCAGTTTTAAGAGTACTAATACAAAGACAGAAGTTCCAGTTTTGCACTTCATGCCAAGAGTATGTTGCAAGTCCCAAAAAGCAGTAACAATTACACATACCTTGGTAAAATCTCACCATTCTGAATAAATCTGTCTATTCGTGTTTTACTGTCTGTTTATACACACACCAAGAATGTAGAAAGAAAATTGCAGGATGACTTTTTTTATTTTCCAACACTACATAATTAATCCTACAAAAGTTGGTATATAGAATTATGAAAAGGCCTTATTCAGAGAGATTGAATACTAAAGACGTGTATTTCAAAAATAATCCAGTCACTGAGTGCATACACTTAGGATAAAATCACTGCACATGCACAATATTGCAGAGCTTTCAGTCACAGATGTTTAAAAATCCTTTTCGAGATAATAGCGTTTACCGATCTAGAGTAAACCTCGCTTTGACTTATTATGACAATTTTTATAGCAATGCAGCAGGAAGACCATGTGAATTGACTCTTTATTCTTTCTAATGTAGAAAGTGCTTTGTTCTGTTATTGTTTTGACCATTGTTATGTTTTTCAACTCTGCTGGTAGGAGAATAGTGAGAGTGGCAGTTTAGCCAAATGCTAGCAAGCTGTGATTAAATTAAATAACCTGCAATTTGACCCTTCATTTTAAGTAAATGTTTAGAGTACTCATTCTTTGAAACAGGTCATTAAGATGTGAACAGTTTACCACTACTGTTTAAATTTAAAAGGTCCTCTAATTTTTTCATATCTATATATATAATGGCTTTATTCCTTTAAATACAGTAATTACTTTAAATTTTAAATGTGTAGCACAATACAAGTAATTTCAAACTTTATTGTTCAGTTAGCCAAATTAAAACTCAACTAGTCCCTTTTCTCTTTTTCAGTACATTTTGCAGCAACTCACATTAAACTAATGGTCTTGTGATGGGAAAAATCTAGAAAGAAAAATCAATATTCACAGAAATATTAAAAGGACTAGACACTCTAAGCAGTTACAAAATTATGAGATGTCCATTCAGGAATAAATAAATAAAATACAGCAGAAACTTAAAGCTCAAGTTGTGTGAAAATGAAGCATTCATAGCACACTTCAAATCAGATTAGTTTGGTTATTACAGGGATTTGGTCATATGTGTTACATGAGAAACACAGAAGGCCTTCTCTGAGGATTCGGCAAGCAGATAAAATAAAATGAACCGCTAAAAAGTTACATTCCCACAGAAACATAACAGGTAATTTTTCAGTGACACCAAGAAAACAATACGAATAGCTTATGGCAACAGCTAACAGAGATGCAAATTCCATGCTGTAATACCATCCTTACTACTGAACTTATTCACAATTGAGAATTAAACTTGCTACAGTACACCAGATCTTACTGGTATTGTCACATATTTAGACAGTTTTATGGTCGAGGTAACACTTTAGCAACATTAGTCCATGCAGTAAAGCATAACTCTCTAACTTCAATAGACAGCTTCTCAGTTTCTGAATGTACATTTGGGAAACAGCTGATCATTAATAATCCTTGCTCTGTATTCTAGAATAATGAACAAATATGCATTTCTCCCTCCTTCCTGTAGAGGCCCAGGCACCTTGCATTCCTAGACACTTTCTGACACCTGCTTGGCTCAGACTGTAACAGAAACAAGCATAAAGTAAAAGCTTGTCTTATTCTAGTCTTATCCTTTGGCACATGGGAAAAAATGGGTCAATTCATGGATTCTGACATCTTTAATTTGTTAGAAAGTGCTGTAATTCTCCTGCACAAAATTCAAAGACATAATTTTAAAACATCAAAGAGCAAGGATACAGGAACAGCGATGCATAGACTATGTTCCAACTTGACAAACAAATATTTCTGATCAAAGACTACTATTGACCATTACTACTTTTTTTTTTTTAAAAAAAAAAAAAAAAAACGTTAAGAAAAAGTTAGGACCTTAGAAAAA